CTCCTGCTGTCCAGGGTCCTTCAGAGCTGTCAGCCATCTCCAGGCGGCCTTTTGGGTCTTCCAGTGTCTTGGCACCAGGTGGATGTTCATCACTGAGCGCATAAGTCGGTGGTCTGTCCAGCAGTCTTCAGATCCCTTCTTGGCCCTCGTGACAAGCACATCCCTCAGGTCTCTACCTCAGACGATGTAGTCCAAGAGGTGCCAGTGCTCTGACTTCTGATGCCTCCATGTGGTCTTGAGTCAGTCTTTCTAGTGGAAGATTGTGTTGGGCGCATTTGGTCAGAAGCAAGATACCATTGGCTTTAGCCTTCCCCAGCCATTCTTGCTGATGGTTCCGCTCCAGACTTCATGGTCACATCCAACCCAGGCATTGAAGTTGCCCAGGAGAATGACCTTGTCATCCCTGGGGATGGAGGCCAAGGGTGTTGTTGGTCGGAGTAGAACATTTCCTTGACTTCCTCATTGGAATCCAGAGTTGGAACATATGTGGCACGTTGGTTTTGGCTGAGGTGCAGGTGAAGGGTCATCAGCCTTTCATTGACACCCAAAGGGAGATCGGGGAGCATGTCTGCAATCTTGTTTCTGATGGTGAAACCAACTCTGTGGATAAGGGGGTCACGGTCTGGTTTCCCTTTCCAGAAGGTGTACCCTCTGCTGACCTCCTGCAGCTGTCCCTCCCCAGCAAGCTGGGTTTTGCTGACAGCAGCAATGTTAGTGTTGTGCCTCACTGGCTCCCAAGCCCCGAAGACAGTTCGTCTTTCCAGGCGATCACTCTTTGGGTTGTCTGAGGGTTTTCACATTCCAGGTTCCGAAGTCTATATTCTTATTTCGACTGCAGGAACAGTGATCCCACTGGGTGCAGTTTCCCAGCCAGGAGGAATGAGAGAGACTATTTTGGGGACACCTTTTCTAGCCCCCTCCCTATCAGGGTGAGCAGAGGGTATCCTAAAAAGGGCTGCTCAGTCACAGATGCCACTGCCAAAGGACACCCCTGCCAAAGGACACCCATGACACAGGTGCCCAACAACAGGTGGCAAATGTGCAATGGTCTGCAATTTCTTGGCTGGGGGGTTCCAGGTATCCCAGCCCTACCCCTGTCACCAATCCTCCATCGCTACAGGGCTTTTGGACCTGACTGAAGCCTGTGTGTGGCATGTTTTAGCACAGGGGCTCCGGTGCAGTCGGGCCCACAGGGTCTTGGCAGTTGGTGGCCAGGTTCAGTGGCATGCCCCACACTCCTGCATACCAGCTGGAGCTAGGCAGTACATTTTGGGGAAGTATACAACCTTCCATTATAAAGAAGTGGTAATTTTGCCAGCCCTAAGCATTGAAATAATTCAGATGTCCAAAGATCATGAAACTGGTGCATTTGGGTTTTTTAATTTTGCCTTCTGGTTTTTGAACCTTTTGGGATTCACATTTTCAAGCTTTCGCCCTAAACCACAACTTCCAGAGTTGGGGCTTACAAGAAAAACATTAGACATCACACTGCTTGTGAAAACACAGCAGGAGTTAGCAACACAGAAGTACGCTGAACTGGGAATCCCACTGTCCCAGTCCTGCCCAAAGCATTCTGCCTGTAGAGCTCTTCCCATTTACAGCAACTCTCTAACTGCCAGGATTTGCCCTAAAGAATCCTCTGGGTGTGTAATTCCTTATTTTTCCAAAACTTGTTGAAAGCATCTGAAATAAAATAGCTCAGAGCCATGGACTCTGATATAATAGCTTCTCCTCCTCCTCCTCTCAAATTTTCTGCATGGATATTAGAATCCATGAAGGAGGTGAATGCTTCCCTGTCACTATGCTTCCTTTTCTCGTCCTCTCTGTAGCTTTCTGCAACTTTATGGGCACAGCCACACGAGTACGCACGTGCCTCTTGTAGCATGTCAAAGCCCTTATCGCCATGGGTGGCCCTACCAAGAGTGTGAGCTCCAAATGGCATCACTCTTGGTCACTTCTGTGCGCATAGGATCCAGGCTGATGTGGCTGATGGTCCCCGCAAGCAGCACACAGCCCTGAGTGACAGCCCAGAGCTGCCCAAAAGCACATGGTCCCATGCTGCACCAAGCTGGGCTACAGCACACTGTTGTAGAGGCCACGTGGATACCTGGCAGTTGGGGCCAAGCCACGCTGCTCCCCCACCATGCAGGGGGGCTGCAACACAAGCACAGCTACTATTGCTGGTAAGCTGCAGGGGTGAGGGGTTGGAGCCGGCCAGGGAGCACGCGGGGGGCCTGTAGCTAGGCAGGGGGGCAAACGAGCAGGCCACAGACAGCCACCATCCAGTGGGGGGTCAGGAGCCAAGTGAGGAGGCTGCAGCCGAGCAGGGGGCTGCATCTGGCCACAGGCTGAGCAGGGGCACTCCTCCAGCTCCTTCCACCCCTTACTTATCGGATGCGGAGCCCAGGTCTCAGTTGCTGTGACCCCTGTGGGGGGCATGTGGCCCCTGTGAGGGGACAGTCTGTGAGTTGTGCAGGGAGACTGTACCCTGCAGGGGACAGCAGCCCCACCTCATAGCCTCCTCCACACCTACACTCTCCCCACATTCCTGGCCCTGTGAAGCAGGAGTAAGGAGAATGGAGCAGGGAGGTAAGTTGTGGGTTGAGAGTGAGGGACAAGGGCAGAGACAGAGCAGTGCTGAAGCCCAAAGTTAATGCCAAACTGTATGAATAATTAGAATTTATTTTATTATGATGATGGAGGCAATAGTAGGCTTCCAAGTTGTTTTACAATTGTAAATATATCAATAAAACATTGCCCAAGTGATCTGTCTCTGGTGGTCTTTTGTTTTAACTGTTGAGGAACATGGATTTTGGGATATTTTTGAAGAGTGAATTTGGAATTGTTTGTTTTTGCAGGTCGTAAATAGGGAACATTGGAATTCCTGCTAGGGAGGCAAGTGGCAGGACCCAGGCAGAAGACCCTGCTCAGAGCTGGCACCTGGGACCCAGCTGGAGGTGGCTGACTTTCTGGCCACTTGGGGCCAGGAAGACATGCTTTGACAGTTCAAAGCAGGCCACCACACTGGGAACATCTTCCAGGTGATAGCTGCCCAGATGGCCAGGCAAGGGCACACATGGCAGTAGTGCTGCACAAAGGCAACTGTGCAGTCACAGCCTACTGGCAGCTGGCCCAAAGAAGCAGATGTCTCTACTGGCTGTGCAGTCTCCATCCGGGTCTGGCAGACATGCAGCCTTGTTGCCACCTGCGACAGCATGTGGTCTCAGGTCACAGCCAGGCAGCAGCTCTCACTGCCAGACTGCTGCAGTGGGTAGAGGGTGCAGGGAACTCCCAGGGCTGCTTCAGCAGTCCAGCTGGCACAAAGGGCAGTGTCCCCACATACCAACTGGCCAGTTCCCAGAAGCTCCTGAGAGCAAGCAGCCTTGAGCTACTTGCCAAAGCAGCTTTTTACAGTGTTTGGGTCAGCACAGGTGCTGGCCCCAGGCTTTAGCTTTCCCTGGCTGCAGTTCCAGGAAGAGGCAGGCAGGGTTATTTTGCCCCATGTGGCACAATTTGCCCCACACCAAAGTGCATGTCCAGGCATGCTTCTTGAGACAAAAAGCCCCGGCTCAAATTTGCACCACTTTTATTTGACCTGCTGCAAGTGAACATGCTTGCATGCGTGAACGCACCCTATGATTTCTCACCTCCATCAGCTACACTTGTAAAGGCATATTCTTTTAAAACTAATGATTTAACAAATTCACTTTTGATTTGGTGCACTGTTGTCATCTTCCTCTCATCAGATTGTCCTCCTTGTTTGTTAGGCAAGATAAACTAACATACCTGAGAAGAACCTGTGCCACAGTAACTGGCAATTAGAAGGCCTTGTTACACTGTTTCTGCTTGAACTAAGAATGAATGAAATATTCTGAACTTCAAGAACCGTTTTGCCACTATTCAAAACTTTTTGCCAGGATTATGTCCTCACTTATTCATTTATAAAAAAACCAAAAACAGTTCTGTTTTCTGGTTTGTTTGTTGTTGGGTTTTTTAAAGGGGACATTTTGTAAAAAATATATGAAGGTTATTCAAAATTAGTCTCCAATTCATAACATAGTTTAAATGGGATACAATATTCTCACAGCAGTATTCTTTCCCTACGCTGTACCCATATAGCATTGCAACAGAGAATTTAATTCTTATTTCAACTGTGCATGACAAAGTGAGTCCTGTAAAGATAAAATTTGTAAAGTGCTTTGAGATCCTAGAGGGTGAGAGCTGCTTTGTAAATACGCATTTATTTACTACAACTCTTTTTCTTTTTTTTCTTTTAATCTGAGGGTTGAGACTCCTGTGTAAAGGGTGTTTTAAAATATTTAAACAGTTTGAAAACATTATTATGTTCAACAAAAGAAACAGGCCCTACTCATTCAGTCTCCCAAAATAACAGTGGACTCATAATTCATCTCTTCCTGATGAAAGGTTCTACTTTGTGGCACAGAACATGTTGCTGTGGGAAAAGCTGCTGTGTTACAAACAGATGATTATGAGTTGGAAGGCTGAATGGGCAGTAGGAGAAATCTCCCATTATATAACAATAAACAATATCAAATGACTATTGAATCTAAGAGAAGAATTCTTGAAAGGCAAATGGATTTCTGTTTAAAATATGATTTCCCTTGCCCTTCCATGGAGTAAACTATGCCAATAACATTCTTCACATATCAGGTTGTCTCCTTTCATTTCTTGTTATTTTGATTTCTGACCTTTTAACCTCAATCTTTTGGCTCAGCTGAAGCCAACAGTATTTTAGAACAGTTCTAGTATGTCTTGTTTAGCTAAGATAACATGTAGCTTTTCTTTGTCTTCAGTAGTCAATGTCAAAAATCTCTTATTCTTGTAAAATTTGTATGCCTATTTTTATTTTTATGTAATCTAAGGGGTGAAGGCTTTAAGTAGATAAAAAGCTAAAGAAAATATAAGTGCTACCATATTGTTTTTGTTGTGCCTATAAAGCCAGCAGTGTATACATATACAAACTAAAAAATGATACATACGCCCACGAGTCTCCAAGCTTCACTAATAACGGCATATTGAAGGCGATTCAGAACAAATCCATCAGTCTCTCTGGTTAATTTGACTGGGGACTGTCCAATCTTTTTCATCAGAGCATATGTCTTCTCTACTGTAGAAGGATCTGTTTCTGGATGGGGAACAAGTTCAACCAATGGCACAAAATAGGGTGGATTTACCTTGACAAGAAAAACAAACAAACAAAAAAAATCATTCATTCATACGCTTTTAGTACAATCAATTTCATTTAAAGAATTCTGCTTTTCACATTCTCCCCCCACTCCCTCCCTCACCAAAGAGACCTTGATCTGGCTCCCCCACACCTCTTCCCTTCTCCCTCCTCTTCCACTACAGACTTAAGCTGGACACTGCTCTTTAAGCTGCTGGGCTGCATATCAGAAATCGGATCAGTAGTGGCCAATATGCCTCTTTAAAAATCGGCTATTGATATCAGCCCCAAAAATCTTTATCAGTGCACCCCTATTATGAACCATCTGAAAGAGGCAGTGGGAGCAAAATGCCTCACTAGTTTTAAAGATGAACTTTGCTAAACGGATGAAGGGAACTGCAATGTGATTTGCCTGCAATAGCATAGTCTGGACTCCATGACTACCCACCCCCTAGTCAGTCTCTTTTATGCCTAACTGTACCAGTCTACGTATATGAATATTACACAGAAACCTCATGCAGACAACCACAGTGAATATGCTATGTTGTACCACAATATCAGCCGCCAGCTTGAAATGGCCTTTTCTGCCAGTAAGTAGTATGTACCAATAAGTATTATGTATCAAACTTGTCTTGAGTTCAACAAAGACAAGTACAAAATGCTGCACCTGAGCAAAAAGAACCACCAACACACTTACAGGCTGGGGGAGGACCTTCTCAGCAGCACAGCAGCGGAAAGGGATCTTGGGAGTCATAGCTGACTCCGAGATGAACATGAGTCGTCAATGTGACAAAGTGATCAAGAAGGCTAACCGCACTTTATCATGCATTAGCAGATGCATGACAAACAGGTCCAGGGAGGTGATACTTCCTTCTTATGCAGCATTGGTCGGGCCACAGAGAATCTTGAGAGGGTTCAGAGGAGGCCACTCATATGGTCAGAGGCCTGCAGACAAGGTCCTACAAGGAGAGACTGAGGGACCATCTCTTCAGCCTTTGCAAGAGAAGGCTGAGAGGTGAACTTGTGGCTGCCTATAAATTCAT